AGCACCCTATCAGACGATCACCAAAGGAATTATTTCGATAGAATACTAGCCGATCAAGCAGAATAGTGGTACTCTACCGATCTAACTAACCTGGATCAGTGATCAGCACGGAAGATTTTTTGTTGGGTTATACCCTGTGCGACAAAAAATATAGATTAGATAACCTGTTCTAGACATAGGCATTGGTCCATACCAGCTGAATTTTTTACGAAAACGTAGCGCTGACAAAATTTCAAGGCTCACTAATCCTCAAATCGATTATAGAACAAGTCAATTCGAAAATGATCGTGGACAAATAATCATTTTCTAAAAGATATATTCTTTCAAAATCACATGAGGTAACGTTTCTTAATTCCCAATAATATGACACTGGCTCATGTGAATCTGCAGTATATGCTAGGCGCAGAGGAATTGGCGTCAAATTTGTTTATTTTTCCATCTTTGATCATACCGATATTTTTTCTCACCTTGCAGATCGATAGATCAAGGAGCAGAGCTGTGCAACATGCGAATCGCATATATATTCAAAAAATCTCCAGAGTTTAAGCTCTGTATAGATGTCATTCCGTAGGATAGAAAATATAGAGCTAGTCGTAGATAGTAATGAGGCTATGCATTGCGAGACGTTTCAACAATCCTTCATACTGCTGTCAGCATCCTCAGAAGATTGGTAATCTTGCCTCAGATGGATGTATCTAGTGAAGAAAGTTCCGGCTGTGTCGACTATGCAATCAAGAAAACGTCATGTATCCTTTGTATTTATTTTTTCGTATTAATAATAAAAATTTTCGCTTACGGGCTGTAAGGGAAACCACGTGATTTTTTTTATTTTGAATATAAAGCATTTTTGTATAAAATTTATTGATCATGTCTAATACTTAATCCAACGATTCATTAAGGGAATTAAATGTTAAACTCTTAGCTGAGATTGCAGAGCTTAGAAAGGAAAATGCTGAGATCCCTAATCTTAAAAGGAAGTTAGCCGAGTTTGAATCAGAGAAAGTTGAACTTGAAGCCAGGCTTGCCGAAGCTCTAAGACAGGCTGTGAAAGAGAGTAAGAGACGTGATGCTGAGAATGTTGAACTCAAGACTAGAATTGAGGAGTTGGAGAAATGCAAGGTAAATTCTTCAGCTGAGAATGTTAGACACGATATTAAGTTTGCTGAGCTAAAGGCTGAAGTAGTGAAATTAACAGAAAGCGCTCAAATTTCTCCCGAAGTAATTGTCAATGTATCTAACACCATTACAGATCAGTGTAATAAGGGGTTCCATAGAGACCAGATCACTTTTCCGTCATCTTGTGTGAGTGATCAGAAGTCATCGGAGGACAGGAAAATGGATACTTTCTTGGATGATACAGATAAGAAAAGTGTCAGTAATGGGATAAGACAACACAATAGGGGGCTACTGCGTGAATCGAAGTCATCAGATAGTACAGAAACAGTCCCGCCATCTACTTCACTGATATCGCTAGAAGAATCTTCGGATTCAAAAACTGTGGAAATACTTCAGGACCAGCAAGAGAACAAAGAAGCTCGATCGCATAAAAAGAAAGAAGTGGAAAATATCGTGCAAGATGTATTTGATTTCACCGTGGATAAATCTGATAAAAATCACATGACAAATTTTTCGCTTACGGCCCGTAAGGGAAATTCAGACATATTGAACAATATAGCCCGCTTATACGAAGATGCATGTAATGCAGAAGATGAAACGATAAAAGCCAATCAGGTAGAAATTTTATGCTGGCTTGACTTTGTCAAGGGACTGGATAAAAGTGTGAATGAAATTATGATCAAAGAAAAGGTGGGTATGAAAAAGGCCAAAGGATTGATTTACGATTTTATTCTTACACACAATCCTGGTACCAAACGAAATACTTTATATCAACGCATCGGTAGAGCCAGGAAGATTTATAGGTTTATCGAAAAAATAGGAATTGATAAAATCAAGTATATCAAAACATATAGTGCGAATTCTATTGCAGAATTATCCGATAGTAAAATTCAAACTATTATTGATTATTTCTCCAAGAATCCCGATACTGAATTATCCAATAACCAGGATAGTTTTATTATTGATTCTTCACCGGAGGAGGATGAACTACCGGAAGTTGAAGTAAGTGCATCCACTGAATCCGATTCTCCCAGCTCGGAAACCAATCAGAATAGTGTATCGGAGGTGCAAGCGGAAGCCTTAGTTTCAGCCGAAGAGGACCCTTGGGAGAAGATATTCAGAGAAACTTTTGAGAAGGATGGGATAGAGAAAGAAAGGGAGAACAAAGCGTCATCAAATGTAGTAACTCCAGCTAAGGGGTTGCGTAGCAATCAGGCAAATGACTACGATAATGTGTATTTTAATGAGGAGGCGAATGAAGTTAAGTTAGACGATGACTCCGATTCCGATGATTCTGAAGAAGAGATGCCAGATAAATTGGACGATGATGGATATAATGATTACGGTGGATATAATGAATGTGATAGAGGTTATTATTATCGTGACGGAAGATATGAAAGGAAAGTCTCACCAATGATGAGTCCTATTATATCTCCGGTATCCGCCTAGGAGAATTATTGGGTGGATTGTATACTGAATTATGCGAAGTGCCCCTTTGGTTGACCGGGGCTCATATAGGTTTATTTTCCCCTTTGATGCTACGCATCTGCAGGAGATAACATATCTGCCCAGGATAGTGTTGGGAATTATTTCCCCTGAACGTCTTGTCACTCAACCATGCTAGGTCCCTGAGAAGGCAGGGTTTTCTGGCTTCGAATTTATGAGAAGGTGGGGGTTATCTTTTTTCGAATAAATATGAGAAAAAGGGCTGAATCAGGATCAGCAAATTAATAGATATTAAGGTTGTCATATTTGTTTCGTGTTTTACGATGATCGTAGCATCCAGGAGTACAGTTCGCATTATGCAAAATCGATCTACAATGAACTTCCAACTTATGATACTGCTCTCTAAGGGTTCAGTGTCATGATCTAAAGTGAACACCCTTCTACGCATTCTGCTAGGAGTGTCATATGATACTGTTCCCTAAAGGTTTAGTGTCAAGTGATCCTCTACATATATACTATTAGGAGTGTCATATGATACTGTTCTCTAAGGGCCCAATGTCATGATCTATAGTTAATATCCTTCTACATATATAGCTTTATGAGTATCATGTGATACTGCATCCTTCGGGCTCAGTGTCAAGTGATCCTCTACATACATGCTGGTATGAGTGTCATATGATACTGATCCATCAAGGCTCAATGT